TAGTGTCTCAGCGCCATCAGCTGTTACACAAATGTCATTACCTCGTCCCCCTCAGGAAATGGCGAAATTTTTTTGTATGGAAATAAACGCGCGCTGCTACTCCTGTTATTTCTGCTCTCTGCCTGGTTTAGATCCTTCTCACTACTGACAGAAATACATGAGATATTTCTTAAGAATAGTCTCGTATCGTGATAACAATCATCTTTAAGATCCAAATTAAGGTTCTCTCCTGCACTTAATAAAAAGCTACTAGGTACTTAACCAATGATCTGGTGGGGTATACCCGAGTGGTACAGCGCATCCGACTGTACATTTTTATTGCAAAATAGCTGCTATTAGAAACACATAAGACGCCAGCGATTAGCTTGACGAGCTGTACAAAAAGACGAAATGGTAGACAATAGTCGCGGCGCTCGCGGTAGCGGGTAACGGTCGCTAACGGTCGCGTAATGACAGCGGACGCTACAATTATTTCACCGAATCTCCAGGGTTGCCAGTTACCAGGGTACTTTTTTATCCACGAGGAAACTCTTGACCTGCATCACACCTGATGGAAAGTGATGTTAAGCCGAAGGAGGAAGCTAGCTTCACCCGGAATCCTCAACTATAGAGGATTGTAATAGTGGACTAGTGATAAGAAAATTGGGAGCTGATCAGCTGACCAACAATAAAATTCAGATTTATCTCTTACTACTATGTTATTTGTAGACCCCAACTAAGCTTGATCTTCATATGCCATCAACGGAAATCACCTACATTAATGGAGGTAATAAAATCATAGTTTAGGCAACATTAATGTCGCTGAGTCGTACTAATCCATGTCTAGACAAACCATTACTGTAGGGGTGACATAATGAGTCATAGGATTAGTAAGGGGTGCCTGATTCAGACTTTCAGATAAGTGAATCACAGCTATTCAGCCAGACGTGAAAAAACTGTGGCTAATCTAAACATGACTGTAAGGTTAACGTGCTCTACGAAGCATGGAATTATCTTTTTTATTTGGAAAATAGGGTGATTCAAGCTTCAAGGAATCATTTCAAAGTGATTTCTTTACTGCTTGCTCCAGTCGTCAACATAAGAAACTCATTTGAACAAAATATAATATGGATACGGAGACGGACGCAACATTAATGAAACTTATTATTTTTTAGAAAGGGTAACACTATTTAGGGCATTCAATCGGCAGCGACACTATCAGTACTAGGTTGTTTTTTCAGCAAAGTGAATCCTTTATAACAACATTTTGCTAATCATGTAGGTCGTAGGTATTTACCAAAATCTGGCGGCAGGCAGCCCTACACAGCCGCAGAGATTTGGCTAATGCATTTTTGGCTAAATATGATTGAGACGCCGCGGCCTAGATGCGCGATTTCTTTCGCTTTTCTTCGGATTACAGTTCCATCGCAAGTGGAACTTTAGCAGCTGACAAGAAGCGTAGAATGAACTGTTGTTGGATTGGATTCTAATTGAAAACTACTGACGGGCTGATGGAAGCATACGCTCATTACCACAGCAACCACGTCAGTCCATAACTCGCTCAAGTTGCTCATAATCATGGACCTATGAAGAGGTCAACATAGATCTCGCTATTATTCTTGCTCACTCATTGCCAGATGTTACAAGAGAGAGCGATAGACAATCCCAATATTATTATGGAAACCACTTCTAGGAATAGATCTACAAGTCTCTCCCTTATCTTATACACTTCAGAAGGCCTTTTTCTCGCTTATGTCAGCTGCATTTCCATAAAAATCTATCTTGTTTGAGAAACGCAATAGTTTCCTTTTTATTTGAACTTTGAGTTGGTTCTCTATTATATTCCTTTATGTTTCGCAAAAAATCTGTAGAGGCTCATGGACCAACCACTGCTAAAGGGATCATCTTCATTTTAAGCCAGCCGAACATCAATGTGTGAAGTCTAGCTCTCTGATCACTCAACCATGGGCACTTATTCTATTGTTCGTCCGTTCACTCCTCGAAAGTACGCAAGTAGTAATTTGAGGCATTACCCCCGGTCATTAGGGTCTATACTGACCGCGGCCTGTCGGGTCACGGAATAGTGACTAATTACGGTGGTGAATAGTTGATGTATTCCATCGATTCAGGACAACTCGGACGATTAGGGGAAAACGGGGCAGTGAACCTTCTTGAAAATGTTGATAGCTTTGTGATAGGAATTTTCCGGTGTGTACACAGGAATATGTGGGTCATTTGATGGGAATCAATCATCATGGCCTATTGACATGTTCAGTAGAGGAGTTACCGGTGGTTTCTTGCTGTCTTCAGCATTGATAAACACCGGAATTCATACTCGAGCGACTGGCTCTTTAGGACACTTGATTTCATTATCTGCATGTTTCTCAATCTTAAGCATTGCTGTTAGTGTTAGTACCTAATGGAGAATGGTTAATTTCTTTGTCATGTTTTCAAATAGGAAGACCATTGAACTTGTCACAAATTAGATAAGGAAAATTGTGGATAAGCACACCAAATTACAGGTCTGTCTCGAAAAATTGTTAACTCTCTTTCACTTAGACCTTTCAAAGAAGGCAATCAACCTCTTTGTATACCAGCTTAAAGAAAACGATGAGGTCATCCTTCTTATCGACCTAAGTGCTCATTAGGGAGGGACATTAGGGCTCCTCACCTAATGCTTATGTTGCTATATACACGTATGTTTTTTTCTACTCCAAAGGTGATAAGTTCTTGTGTATCTTGTATTTTTTCTTTTTCAAATCTGTACCGTCAGTTCATGTAACATTTGCCTTTCCATCGACTTCAAAGACGACAAATTAAAAATAAAAACATAATTCGTGGCAGTTCCAAGCGTAACATAAGCTCCGGTGTCTTCGTTTTTTACCAACGACCTGATACCTAAAAATTGCAGCTTGTAACATTAGAAAGCATAGCCGCTTTGCTCCAGTAAAAGCGAAAAAGCGTATTAGTTTCACCCGTTCAATGAAAGTGGAATATATCCAAATGCGCCGACAAAAAATGTATTTTTCAATCAAAGAACGAAAGTGAACAAAAAATTTAGTAGAAGTCAACCTTTTGGCGCCGGCGCGTGGATTTAATAGTCAAACTTATTTGTTGACTAAAGTTTATTTAAGATCAAAATAATCAGTAACCTGACTTTATAATCAATATTCCAAAGACAAACTTAGGAATAAGGAACAATAAAAGACTGGTGGAGAACTCCAAAAATAAATGGAGAAAAAAACTTTGACCAGTAGAAAGTGACAGCTGAATTGTTATTCTACTGATTCCAATTGACAACTAGACTGGGCTTTAATAAGATGTTTATGTCATTGGGGCTATATCTTATTTTATTTATTTATTTTATTGGAAATATCTATGTACTTATTATGTTAATTTTTGGTTTGTTTTTGTATTTTTTTCTTTGTTCTGACTGACCCATTGCTTATTACTAACTAAATAACTGCTAATATTTGTTTAAATGATTTTATCAACTCATTAACATTACTCATGTTAATCTTTGTTTAGTTATTAATAAAAATGACCGTTACAATGTTCGTTAGATAATGTTCAAAACGATAATTACTAAAGAGTAGGCTGATATCTGATAATAATAACAACTATTCCTTACATTTGGTTCACAAATGGCCACCGTCGGGTTCGAACTCGGGAATAACAAAAACAGAACAGCGTACAGTTGATAGCACGTCAGAATCTTCATTTTTGTTGCAAAATCAAACTTATTTACAACAAAATAAGAAGCTGCAGTTCATCTGCTGTCGTCTGTACTCATACATTTATCATGCGGGCTGAATCTTTATTCGGCATTCCTTTGACTTCGTTGAAGTTTCAATGCAATATTCATGCTGTATTTTAATACGATTAAAATAGGTTGTTTATTTATGACCATATTATTTTCATATAACTGAAGACGAGAGTAAAAGTTTTTATACTTTTGCCAACCCTGGAACAGAAAGTCGGATTCCTATATTTTTGAATTTTTTGACATCGCTTGTAGTTGGACATCAAAAAGGTTGAATTCAATTTTTACTGTTTTCTTTTTTTTATTTTCATGGTGAATTATTTTCAGCTAATCCATTCCCTTTGTTCCTTATTTAAAACTTCTTTGAACTTGCATTTATTCGACAAGATGTTAAATAGATCCGTACAATCCAATACGATTTTCATCGAGTTTTCACAAATTATTATTTTTATCATTAATTAGTTGTTTTAAGTAAATGAAATTCATCGACCATTGCGACTGATTGTATCGTACGCGTGTAAAATTAGAAATCATGCAAAAAATATGTTAGTGCACATAATAAATAATACGAGTGGCCGCGAAAATGCAAGTTAGGCAAGAATTTTATTACATTGACTTAGTCGGGCTAGACTCTTTCTCATAATTGGCTTTCTAATCTTTACTGTCTGTAAAAGTAACGAGATTTTATAAAAGTAATTATCTACAAACGGTATTTGAAAGTAAATATAGTGGATTAACGTGACAGTACAGTTGCTCGAGTTCAGCGATGTAAACGGGTAGATAAAATTTTAAGTAAAATGGTTTAGATTGAAGTAAAAGCAGTGAAAAGTCTAAATAAAAACAAAAACATGAAATAACTTCCGTAATAAACGTTCATAATAATTATGCATATCAGGACTTAAATATTTTTAGTAAAGTAGAAGTAGGTATGCTTTAAAAATAATGATAATCTCATTCATGAGATAAAAATCTAAAATTGTATTGACAATCTCTTCAAAAGGAAGACTATCCCCTTCCTTGGTACGAATCTATTGTCCAATTGACAGAGCAGCTGTAGGTTACCGGTTGCACTTACAAAATAAATATCAGAAGTTAGATTGCGATGTTTCAGATTTAAAATTTAAATAAAGAATTGAATTAAAAAAAGAAATTCAATTTCTGTAAGAAAATGACAGTAATTTTTAAATTTAGAACAAGGAGTTCCAAATTTTGAATCTGCAACTGTCAAGTTTCAAAAAATATTTTTAAAAAAACTCACTTTAGCGCCGATCTGGTTACCGCACTGGCCAGCCTGCAGGTGCACTATTTCCCTCATTGTACCTTATTTGTGACTAAACCTAGTGGATATGTGTGGACGCCGCGACAGTGGGTTTCGGACTAACGGCCTCCCGAGGCGAGTGGAGTGAAGGAACGGCGAGTGATGTGGCCTGGGGTGTGGGGAGGACAGCACGAGGTTTTACCCGATTTTAGGGAGAATTGAAGGCTGTCTATAAATTAAATAACAAGAAGTTTACTTTTGAGTTCATGCGTGAAGAGAATTTAATAACAAATTCGCAACAATCGACGTTGTGACGACACGACCACAACACATTCAAATAAAACTGCTATTTATTTTGTATTAACCCTTTTGTAATTCACCGATTTCTTATTTCCTTATCAGAAAGATGATCAGCATCTTTTCTTGGTCATGATCCATCTACCTTCAATTCAGATTTCTTCTCAGTCTTTTCCCATCTAGTAAATTTTGGGCTTGTCCAAATTTATCATTATATTATACCGTCTCATATGCTTTCTTATTTCCCATAACGCGAGGCGGTCCTAATTTGAAGGTTCGATCTACAATTGTACAAAATATTTAAATTGTAATGTAAATTTTTTTTAAAACAATAATTTCCTGACCACTGACGGTATTTACTAAAATATCCGGGTAAATAAATTCCTCACTCTGGCAACACTGTGCATGAATCACCGCGACGACGAAACCATAAATTAATTCCCGCGCTAATTGCAACTCCGATGCGCTACTCGGGCGACCATGCGGTGCGAAGCGGGCGGATATTTTATTTATTAAGTCAACCGCAAGTAAAAACTACACTCCTATGTTTTTATCACCATCATCTTTCCTGTTTAACACGAGACGTAATATGGTTGCTGTTAATAAAGGAACAGGAAAACGTTCTGTAATTTTTAGAGAAAAAAAAAGAAAACAATTAGGCAAGTTTATAGTTTTTTTTTTTTTGCCTAAATGAAATGAGGCGCTTACCTTGGGGATAATTTGAATGAAAAAATATTTGAAGTTTCCCCAACCTATTAGAAATGCTTTTCGTATTGGTAAGAAATACATTTACGTCTCCCTTGTGTTTTGTCTAAAATTTTGAAAGTTTTGTCCAGATTTTTCCAAAACTATGGTCATCCTAGCCCCATATTCACATGCACTGCCCAGAGTAGTCTAATTTGCTCATTATTGTTCGCTAATACTATTATTTTCCATTAGAACTAATAGGAATGGTAATTGAAAGAAAGTTTCACTTCATAGGTAAACGAATATTGATTGTGATGCATTCTATAATTTTTCAGCAAGTAAGTATTAAGTATAGTGTAGACCTTTTGAACCAAATATATTATTTTTCGTTCTTTCTTTCAAGAACAGAGCTGAAGCGTCCTTATACATGCTTGAGGATCCCTGTGCTTGGAGAGATCTTGGAGCCCTTCTGATAACACTTGATATTGCCTAGGGCTAAGGGTGGCTTGATAATAAATAATACATTGCAGTCACTCATTTTAGAGGAGAATTATTCATCAAAGTCTGCTTTGAGACTTTGTGTGTGTAATTAAATATCTGCATGAGTAGACATTTCTTTCTTTATGATTGAAGCTTCATTTATAATGTCTATAATTAATAATTTTACATTTTGTTTTACATAGTGGCTTACAAAATGCCGGTATCCGGACTATGACCCTCTGCCCGAACTTTCTCATTTATAATGAAACATTTTACAGGAATGTTTCAGGTATTTTGTTAAACTTACGCTGCGTTTGGGATTTATATTGTCATTTCCAACTTTTTTTCAGGACTTTCCTTCCAGTGATAACCCTGCTTGGGACAAATGGCAAAATTATACGGAACGGAAATAAAGAGAACCCCGATACCAGCTTTTTCTAGGTCTGTTCTGTATGCAATTTGGACTCATTTTGGATAATTATTTGCTCGTAATGATTCGCAGTTGGTTCTGTCTGAGGCTGACAAAGAGATTTCAGTCTGCAATTTGAGAATCTGTGCCCGCCAAACAATGGCGGTACGCGCCATTTTTACTGTCAATTTGATGTTTAATCTGTGGAATCAAATGATACCTTTTTAGGGTTGCCAGGATTTATATTGTTTACGTCATAGTTCTTATGTTATTGTACAAACAAACTGGAGCAAAACTGAACTGAAAGTTCCGTAATTAAATTAGGAACAACATTTATTTCACCTGTAGCTTTCATTAAGATATTTTGTTCCATGAAATTGTAATTAGTTTATTAATTAGTATGCTCCCTTGCTATGAGAGATTGCCGTGGAGAATACCTAGGCTATAGTTTCCATTTTATAAGTGTGTCAGTGAAAACATACTTAGGCCATAAACACTGACTCAGTCAACAACTCGGGATTGAAATTATAAAGTAGGTAGGCTAGTCCATTTCAAGTTTATTAAACTGACAAATAATCCATAGGCACTTCAATCAAGCAAGAGCACCCGTTATCAGATAAATAGGTATGCAACTTAAGCACAGAAAACACGATAAACTAATGTTTTTATTCTGCGAAGATCGAACCCACGACCTCTGGCGTAGTCTGAGGTAATCATCGACCACAGCGCAAATAGGTCTATCACAACTTCCTAAAGGGCCATCCATAGATGTATAAATAAATTACCAAGAAGTAACTGGTATTACCTACGTACCTTACCTTCTTACCTATTTTTTTTACCGTTAGCCATACATAGGTATGTTTTGTCGCTAAAACTTCTTGGTCCTAGTATAGGGGATTAATGTTCCTGCGGAGGACACATCATTTCTCAAGTCAGGGAAATGAATATCTTATAACTGTTATGGTGCTTAACGCGCTTCCTCGTTTTTAGATGAACTTGGTCGAATAATAATGTTCCTGACTAGAGAACTAACTAGAACTAGCTCATCTGGCCGCGAGCCAAGAGGTCGTCGACCCTTCGCGCGGGAATCTAATGACATTTGGCGCCATCTTGACTGACGGACTTGCATTTTCTATGAGATAGACACAGGTATTTTTTTAAAAGTCGCATAAAATTAATTCTACAGCCATAAAATATAATGACCGTTGATTTATTTCTTGCCTGTAAAAAGTGGCTGCATTTTCCAATACAATGGAATTCTCTGAAAAAGAAAAGGAAATTAAGATTTAAAGTACCTAGGTGGTATCTTAGATTAATAAAACCTAGATGGATAGTCTTCATACAAACGCTTCGTCAAGAGTGAGGCAAAAATCTTATGTCATTAGTGTCAATTTTGTTGGGGAGTGTAGACAGTGAAGGCGATTTTCCCGAAAGTAGGGAAATTTTTAATACGTTTTTATTTACTTTATAATTAACAAAAACAAAACGCATCATGTACTTACTTATTTATTGAATTCAAAGTACCTACCTGATAACAATAAGATAAATCGACTTAAGTCTCGATTTCATAAAAAAGGAAGTGTATTTGTACGGCGAACAATCCCAACTAATATTATAAATGCGAAAGTAACTCTGTCTGTCTGTCTGTCTGTCTGTCTGTCTGTCTGTCTGTCTGTCTGTCTGTCTGTCTGTCTGTTACGCTTTCCCGCTTAAACCTCGCAACCGATTTTGATGAAATTTGGCATAGAGATAGTTTGAGTCCCGGGAAAGAACATAGGATAGTTTTTATCCCGGTTTTTGAAACAGGGACGCGAGCGATAAAGTTTTTCTGTGACAGACAAAATTACACGCGGGCGAAGCCGCGGGCGGAAAGCTAGTTGGGAAATAAATTTTCTTGTTACTGGTATCATTCCCGTATTTAATTTTTGAAAGCCAAATTCAAGCAAAATACGCGTCGAATTGTAGTACTTACTTATGAAATGTAACACTGGTCACTTTCTTTCGTTTTTCTGATGTATTTAAGACACCCTTTCACAGCACAAACCGTTTTAATTAATTAAAATTCGTCGGACGTGTTTACCAATTTTTCACTTTGACAGTTCATGTGACGTTTACGAGTAAGCCGTGCCGGCTCCCTAAAAACTGCCTCACTTTTCGTGCACTGACTATCTATCTAGGTTTTATTAATCTAAGGGTGGTATGCATACCAATGCTCTCCTCTATTAATTCACACTTTGACTATGAATGCACTATTATACCTATAGCTCGTAGAGACGATGGCCGTTGGGGCAGGAAAGTTCTCGAGTGGCGACCACGGACTGGAAGACGTAGCGTGGGCAGGTCTCCTACTAGGTGGACCGACGATCGGGTAAAGGTCGCGGGAAGAGCCTGGATGCGGGCAGCGCAGGACCGTTCATTGTGGAAAACCTTGGGGGAGGCCTTTGTCCAGCTGTGGACGTCATTTGGCTGAAACGAACGAGCACTATACCTACCTTTTATTAAGCTAAGTAGGTAGGTACCTATGTGGTTAGTTCAGTTTTTTCTTTACTTCCGTATTTTCCGGACTGTGCTCATGTGGCCCTTGGCTTTTAAGTTGATGGTGACAAGGTGACAGAAATACCTACATTCCAAGGATACCCAATCATCTATTAAATTAGTTAGTAGCTCCAGAACGGAATATTTATGTTTAATGTTAATTATTATTCGTATTATCTCAAATGGAAATATCTTGATCGTGAAACAAACAGCTTTGGGATAAGATAAAGAAGATTCAGTGTGTTCGCTTAAAATTAAATAAATAAATAAAAAAACGTTCATTTGGCACAACATAATAAAATTACAAATTAAAACTTAAAATTAAAAATAAAATTGTACCAAACAGTCCTCGCTCAGCACATAAATTAGAAATATTTTAGGCTTACTTTTTTTTTCTACTTTACCTCTTTTTACCTTTTTCAAAATTCAAGTTACATTTATTTTTTTAAACCGTCAAACGAGTCATACGATATTGAATACCCGTCACATGCTACAAAGTAGAGTAGAGACATTAGTGGTCGTGTTTTTTTACAGCTACCCTCAAATTTTTTTTTTTTCCATTTCTATTTTTTTATATACATATTTTTTTCTGCGCCAGTCACACGATCACACCATCGCCATCATCATCTTCTGAACAGGCTCTGCTTTTTACATCTAACAAGTGATGTGATGCAACATTCGTCAAGGTCAGTCCATCGAGAATTCACTTACTTAATCCACAGAACATAGAAACTTCTTTCTATGTTCGGTATTTTGTGACCATGGTGATGGGACGTGATAGGTAGGAACTAATTGACACTGACCACTCGGATATAAAATCCAGTTAAGTGAGATTATTAATAGCCCCGTAGGTAAGTATCTTAACCCTACAAGGCACCCAGTTCCATTTGTGGAACACCGACTTTAATCGTTCCTATAGCTACAAAACTATTCGTAGCGACATCTTTTGCATCTTATTAGAAGCTACTGACATTTAGCAATGTAGTAATACGAAATTTTACCTAAAGATGTCGTTCGTGTTTTGGTTGTAGTGCACTCGGTGTAAAATTTGAATGAAAGTGACAAGTTAGTCGTTTGTCTGAATTCAAAAATAAATAAAAAATAGTTACTGAATAGTTTTGATTAGAAAAAAAATACTCTGTGTTATAAAAAAGTGTATATTTTGCAGAGGTAAGTTGTATTTTTTATTACAATAGTAAACGTATTAGTAAATCACATTTTTATTGTAGTTCCACATACGGTACGTTGAGCTTTAGTGTCCGTTTTTACTTACGTACTTACGACAACTTACCATATGAATATTTTGATTTTATTGCAGATAATGTCACGAAGAAGGTTGCGTAATGGAAAAATTTAGCGTTTCTTAAATATTCATTCTGAGAGTGAAGATGAACAAGATTTTTCTGACGCTGAAAGTGATGATGACATCGAAAAAAATCAGTCCATCCAAAACTTTTTACACTCTGGACTGCACTGCTGGACAAAGACATCCCCCAAGAATTTCCACGAAGACCGGTCCTGAGCCGCTCGCATCCAGGTACTTCCCGCGACCTTCACCAGATCGTTGGTCCACCTAGTGGGAGGCTACCCACGCTTCGTCTACCGGCTCGTGGTCGCCACTCAAGAACTTTCCTGCCCCAGTGGCCATCAGCTCTACGAGCTATGTGCCCCGCGCACTGCCACTCGATTCTGCGGGCTATGTCAGTCACTCTGGTTCTCCTACGGATCTCCTTATTTCTGATTCGATCACGCAGGGAAACTCCGAGTATAGCACGCTCCATCGCCCTTTCGGTGACCTGGAGCCAAGTACATCAATACTACCTCCTCGTGATATCAGACGTGGTGGGTTTGAGCATTTCCTATTTGGGGTGAAAAAAGACAACGATGCAAATATCCTGGTTGCAAAGTAAAACGTCCTTATCTCAAATTTCGCGTAGAACTTTTCCTAAATGAATATAATAATTATTATTGTTTTAGATCTTTTCATCAATAAAAAATAACAAATTTATGATATTATTCATATGATTATGTTTATTATAAATTGCAATATATAAAAAAGTTAAATAGGTAATAGTTATTTCATTTTATTAAGAATAATAATTTTAATTATTAATACCAAAAATTATAGTTAGGGCTCAGAGTACCATATGTGGAACTAAAATAAAAAGTTGATTTTTCAGTAAAATATGATTTTATTTTTATTTTTATAAGTTTTTCCTATCTTCTGATCACTAATTACAACCAATATATTTTTGTCGCGCACTAAAAAAAAATTGAGCCTTGTAGGGTTAAAGTTGGTATGCAAATCAGTTTTTTCAACCGTTTCGTCACTTCAGTCTGTCCCTGTGTAACAGACGATATTGTTATGCAATGCTTGTGTAAGTTTTGATAAAGTTTCCGATACCTTAATAGGACCCTTTCCCACAGCAATCCAGTTTTGCAGGATCCAGTAATGTAGGATCCCGTAAAACGAGACTGATACTCGTATTACTAAACGAGATACTGCAGTCTATGTGGGAAAGAGTCCTGAGGAACAATAGTTACTTATGTCGGATAAACTACACTACAACTCTAGGGTCCACAGGTCTTAGATGATTTAATTTTATCCAGACGACAGATCTGACAGGTGAAAAATCAGCAACCTCGATAATTAATTATGATAACTGTCAACAACTTTATGTAGAGTTACCAGTGAAACTCGCCCTGCGTTACCCGTTTACAGCCTCCTTCTTCCAAGCTATGCTATGCCATAGCTCCTGAATTAGTGATTGAACTAAATAACTAAGTAGGGGAACCTGTTGCAACTTCGCAATAGAGCTATAAAGTGACATCACTAAGCTAGACCTAAGAACGGTTCAAAAATTTCTGGCGGTTTACTTCTTTTAATAGGATTTACCAAAGCACGCAAATTGGGCAACGACCAGTAACTAGTTGTTGTAAAAGTGTCTAATACTGGATGTTTACACGATCCGGTCGATTACCTGATCAAAATGGGTTTACGATTTTTTGGTGAAATTCGGTAGTTTATGGGAAGATGACGCAGGAAAACACATGGTTAGCTTTCTTGAATTTTTAGTTAGGTAGGTAGTACGCAGTTGTTTGTCTATTTATAATACATACTTACATATTAATAGATCCTTGATTAAATATAAATACGAATGCCTGTCTGTTGGCTTTCTATTGCAATTCAGGAACTTAGTTTCTCACTGAACCAATTATGAAGTTTTTTTCAATCTCCAGAGTAGAGTCGAAATTTTTTTAGAGTGGTAAAAGCATTGTTCAATAATTATGTGAGCTGTGAGGTAAAATGGCAGATATGGAATTACCTGATTAATTTGAAAATGCTGAATTTGAGATGTTTACTAAATTGGATGTCTTGTCTTGGATGATATTCACTAAATAGTAGTTCATACCTAACTTCCTGTTACAGTTAGTTTTAAAAGTGGTTCAAGGAGAGCCATAACTCGCATAGCTATAGTTTTAGCAGCCATTCAAACTAAGGGACTTTTAACTAGTTACATTTACATATTTCAAATTCTCACAGAGAACTCTTTAAAATAGCAACATGTATCCCGTCATGTACAAAAAAAGCAAATCAACTTGCTTTCCTTTCAAACTCTTCCAGAAGTGTCTACCTTATTTTCTTCTTGTTAAGACTTATTTTAGTCTAAGGACTGATCATGCCGCGGTGTTAAGAAGGAATTTGTGGTCTTGATGCTGATATTTTCGGAGCCAGGATGACAAAATGACAACTTAAAACCAATCTTAGCCGAGATGAGACTCGGAATGGGCTCTTTGAGATTGTATCGACTGAGAGTGTTAAATTAAATTAACTTTTAAAGAGGTTTGGAAGTGGAAATGTCAGAGAGGACGTGAGACAGTCCGTAGATAATTTTTAGTCATTATGACACCAAACATAGTCAATTGACACATTTTTTTTGACCTGTCAAAATGTTACTTTCTTTGGGTTTGTACTCCTTGACATTATAGCTCAGGCGGAAGGTCGTGGGTTCGAGTCTTCGAATCTTCCTACCAAAATATAGAGGCTGGGAGTTACTTTTCCTAGCTAGGCACAGTGGCGGCGTAGCATAGGTTGGTATAAATTATAGCCTAAGGCACCCCAGAATGGCACCCCCTGTCATGACATCACGACCGTCCTTGCCATGCAGATGCGTCAGCGAGTACTAATCTGCGCGACTTTTGTCACCCCCTGATGCTTGGCACCCGGGGCGGACCGCCCCTACCGCCCCCCCCTTACGCCGCTACTGGCTAGGCATTTGTTAACGTTTCTGAAAAAGAGGGTTCCGTTACGAAAAAAAAGCACCTTGAAAAGCGCGGTAAAGATTTTTAACTCCATTCCAATCGTTGTTTTGAAAACTGAAACCCTCACGGAAAAACCCGCGAGCACCATCTAGTATGCATAAAGCATCAATCAATATTATCTTAATGAAGTTGCAGACCAACTTATATAGAAAATGTTTACTATTCTGACTCATTAGTGCTTTGATATGCGAACCGTCTACACCTTATATCCGCGTAATAAATAAATAAATATTTACCTAACAAGTTTAACGACTATTTACTTGGAGACAACTGTGCTTTTGGTGATTTTGGACTGTAAAGTGCGCTGAAGTTTCGTGGTTAAAGTTGTAAAAGTAAGTTGTTTGATATTTTTTTCTGTATTGTGAAAGGACGCTACAAAGTCGATTTTGAACTCGAGAAAAGCACCTTTAATATCAAATATTTATTGGAAATAACGAAAAAACCTACAAAACAATTAATTTCAGATACGGTTAGTCAGTAGGTACTGACACAAAAGCTCGCAAATGTTCATGGCACTCGAGAAATTGTGAAAATGACACTATTTTCAGTTTTTTGGAAAAGTCTAAAGGAAGCCCTTTTCAGGGAACTTTTCCATACTTCTGTAAAAGCTTTTCTCGAGTCCCTTTCATCTTAGTACTTTAGGTAAATAGAATACAATTAAATAGTTCTTTTTCAGCATTTAACAGTTAAGTAAACATACCTACATTAATTTATAATTTTTATTGAGGCATTTTGAGGAGGCCCAAGCAAAAATCGTGACATGACACAAGTCACGATGTTAGTTTTCAGCATTTTATTTCTTTCTTTTCTTGTTTTGTGTACTTACAACAAAGTGTTTATCTAAAGTTATCTAACTTTCTGTTTATTTATCTATCTATCATCAACCAATCTTAGCAGTTCCCGACATGGTACAATAGACCCCATTTATTACTTAACTCAATGTGAGATATAACTAATTAAAATTGAATTGAAATTGTGTCGTCCAAGATTTTTATTAATATGACGCGTGGTCTTTAAGATTAAAATAAACAAATCGCTCTCTTATTTATTGGATCACTTAATCTCTACTGACCTTTAGTGTGTGTGTAAAATTGTACCTATGTAATGTTATAAAATGAGAACTCAAATTATAACTATTTATAGCACAAAACATAATTGTACGTTAATTTTATATACCCGATGTACGTTATTATATTGATATACGTTATGTTCAGGTATATTACTGTTAAGTCCACAAAACGTACGTCAGAAGGTTGGAACAGTAAAACATGTGATTTCTTTAAAGGTGTAATTGCGACTAAAATAAAACAGGCGGGCTCAGCCGCCGACACATACAAGGAACAGTATAACTATTGTTTTCTATTGTTAATTGTATTGGGCAATGATGTGGGAACGCAGGGCGCTACTCAATACGCTCTGTTCATTCATGGAGTTAATTTATTACTCTGATTAATGTGTACCTACAATAATCATTAGTGTCATGTTTATTGCTCTTAGATCCACTGTAGACGTTTTTTATCGAAACCTGATCCACTTCTTCTGGTAAGACCACAAAAAGTTAGAAGATAAAAAAATCTAAGCACGTCTGTATGTCATACTAGACATAACAATATAAGAAAAACTTTATTCAGCATATTAATTTAAAATATGCAGATTTTAAAAACATGTGAATTGCTTGTTTACTCAGAGAAACTTATCATTCAAATTTTATTTTTGCGACAAATATTTCAATTTTATCCGCCCTTGTTCTCATGTTTTTAAGTCCCTGAAAACGAGCCTTTTTTGTGTTGTTTTGCGTCATGTCATGCATCAATTATGATGATATTTCACGAATGTTAGAACATTCGTGAAACACTGATGACAGAACCATAGCAGAACTATAAACTAATAAATACCTTCCCAGTTGTTGAATAGTTAAACAGTGTAATTAATCAGATATAACCAGTTATGGGGTCAAGGGACATCTAATTAGCGATTGCAGAAGTATAACGGCTATAATTAGATTAATACCTAAATAATTATGTCATACTTCCTAGCGTTTAAATATTTACTTATTAAACAAGTCGCTACCCTGAAACTTTTTAAAATGTATTCTTATATAAAATTATCCTTGGGCACACAAGAATGACTTATCTGCGTAGGGTAGGCTAGAGATTATGGCAATTAGAAGCTTGATTTGAACTTCTATCATTTTTATTGTAGGTACCGTTATACTATTACTTATTCTGTGGTACCGTGTTACCCTTAAACAGATCACAATCAGAACCAACAATCAGAAGTTTAAATCGAATCCACGTCGTCTCGAAAGTATGAAATATTTATTTTCAACGTAATCAAATTAATTTTCGCCTCTGATAAAATGGAGACTCGTGTTTCTGCAGTGAAGACTCTAAGAACTTAATGATGATGATGATGTGTTCCAGATGTCATCCCTACAACAGCTGGCGCTAGAGTTATTCGACGCAGGCGCCGTCCGCCTGGGAGACATCGAGGCCAAAATCGGCAGGCGCACGCCAGTCTACTTCGACCTCAGGGTCGTGGTCTCGCATCCGAGGATTATGGTCAGTATCCTCACTATCATCACCAATAATTTAGATAGTGGCAGTTAATTTCTTGGCGTGAACGTCCCCAAAAGAAATAAGAAATGCATTAAATAGAGAAGAGGTTCAGCCTGATCATCACTTTCCATCAGTTGAGATGCAGGCCAAGAGCTTCCTTGTTGTGAATAAAAAAATAGATAAGATGCCAGGGGTGGGAGTGGCATCTTAGTGGGGCCGTCAGCCTAGGTGTCCTACCTATAAACCTACCTAATAATGTACAAAAAGTGCTTAGAAGTAGCTAATACAGCAACCACTTATAAAGTTATTCAAATTATTGAATAACTTTAATTAAAATATTTTATTTCTATTTCAGTCTGCAGTAGCAGAGCATCTTCAGCGGTTGGCCTCCGAAATAAACCACGACCTTCTGTGTGGGGTGCCGTACGCCGCACTACCATTCACAGCAGTTATGTCAGTCAACACCGACGTCCCCATGATCATGAAACGCAAGGAAACCAAGCTGTATGCCACCAGAAAACTCATCGAAGGAGTCTACCACAAAAACCAAACTTGCCTCGTCGTGGAGGACGTAGTGACATCTGGCGGCAGCGTACTAGAAACTGTTCGTACGCTACGAGACGAGCAACTAAACGTCACGCACGCCATAGTAGTTCTCGACCGCGAACAAGGTGGCGTTAGTGTACTAAAAGCAAATGGCGTCAAAGTAGTATCGCTCTTCACACTGAATAATTTAACACAAATTCTGAGGGATGCCGGCAGAATCACAGATGATACTGTTGACATTATTTCAGACCACATCAAAGGGTGCCAGTTTGGTGTTATGCACAACAGCGGAGATGAAATTACTCCTAGCTAACATACCTTTAAAATATTGGAGTTTTTCTTACCTAGGCAATGGTTCTGCAGAATTATTAGATGCACAAATAGTATTTATTTATATAAAATGAGCACCTAATTAAATGTATTTAATTAACTCTTACTATTATTACGCACAATTTAAATAAATTTCACTTGTAATTGTGTACCTACTAATATTAATTAATATTTTAACTATGAATAATTATATTTAAATTAAGTAATTAAAGTTAATGTAGATTTATGGGTCAGCGAAATGGAATCACTAAGCTTAGAATAAAGCGCTGAAAGGTAACTTGATATCTTCAAAATTAATCATAAGGTATTAAGTAGTAGGTACCTACTAAACATTATTTTTTACATTAGGTACCTACCTACTTCATTAAATACAAGGCTTCTTTGTTAATTTGCCCTAACCGGAATTAGGGTGAGCAGCCCGTTAAGTTTTTTTGGCTTGCAATTTCTTTCTTTATCCCACTAAAGTTTCGGTGGGGACTACGGGTATAAACCTAATGCATGACCCATGAGATGTAATGAAACATCCATGGCATGGCATGACATGACCCTACACATGAGTAAGAAGAATCAAATTGACCAGTGAAGATATTGCTATCTATTTCATTGTTCTATGTTATGTATTCGGTAGGGTGGGTACCTATTTACCTATTGTTCAATTTATGCTAACTATTGTATAGTGTGTAGTAGGCTGGCTAATCAGCGCCGTTATGCGAGGAAGTAGCGACGTGTGTGCGTCCGGCGCATTATAATAATGTGACTAATCATATTAATGGTGTCTGCTGAATTAATGGACTGCATTAACTTGCGGTTCAAATATTGCAGTTAGTTGGCAGAGGAAGTAACCTACTTACTGAAGGAATGTCGTGTGTGTGCAGTGCAATATTACCTAGGTATTAGTTTTGTTTTTTGCAAATGAAGATCTAGAAGTAGATAGGTGTATGATGGGTGTATGTGGTGTAGTAATAATAGAACAACGTAATGTGTGACCTAACATGGGGAACTGGTAACTAGCTAGCTATTGGTAGTTTGAGTATCTTTGATGTGTTAGTGTGTAATAAATAAAACAACCACATAAAATCATTGTAGTTTTATTATTCACCAGCTGAATATAATAATTAAAAACTTTGATCGACTTCGAAAATTGTACGTTACTAGCTTTTTAGTTTACCAAAAAAGCCAATGTAAACTCATCACACTGGTTACAATTAAAAATTAAACTTAGGTATTAAAAAATCAAGTTCAGCCTTATCAAAAAAAGATCATTTCCTTTGTGTCAACGTGTGTTCACAGCACCAGATGGTCAGGCGAAGGGGCCACGTCGCATGGGGCCTGTTTACCAAGTAAACACCCGAGAGCCGCCCTTCGGTCAAGGAAAACTGGGGGAATGTAAACGCAACTTCATGTTACCAGACATCAACGTGTACTCCCTAGGTAAAACTAACATTCAGAACTTTTGTTACTGTAAAATACCAAGCAAAGAAATGCGGGCGTCCCGAGGGACGCGGGGGAGGGTGGTAAGAGTGTGAGAGTGGAGAGGGGTTTAGTTGTCTTCGATCTCCTGCTCCTGCTCCTCGTCGAACTCTGCGTCCTCGTCGGCGGTGGCCTCCTGGTACTGCTGGTACTCGGACACCAGGTCGTTCATGTTGCTCTCGGCCTCCGTGAACTCCATCTCGTCCATGCCCTCGCCGGTGTACCAATGCAAGAAAGCCTTGCGCCTGAACATAGCCGTGAACTGCTCCGAGATGCGCTTGAACAGCTCCTGGATGGCGGTGGAGTTGCCGATGAAGGTGGCAGCCATCTTGAGGCCGCGGGGCGGGATGTCGCACACGGCGGTCTTCACGTTGTTCGGGATCCATTCCACGAAGTACGACGAGTTCTTGTTCTGGATGTTGAGCATCTGCTCGTCGACCTCCTTCATGGACATGCGTCCACGGAAGATGGCGGCGACGGTGAGGTAGCGGCCGTGGCGCGGGTCGCAGGCCGCCATCATGTTCTTGGCGTCGAACATCTGCTGGGTGAGCTCGGGCACGGTGAGCGCGCGGTACTGCTGGCTGCCGCGGGAGGTCAGCGGAGCGAAGCCGGGCATGAAGAAGTGCAGACGCGGGAAGGGGACCATGTTCACGGCCAGCTTGCGGAGATCCGCATTTAGCTGACCGGGGAACCGCAGACACGTGGTCACGCCGGACATGGTGAGCGACACCAGATGGTTGAGGTCGCCGTACGTGGGTGTGGATAGTTTGAGCGTGCGGAAACAGATGTCATAGAGAGCCTCATTGTCGATACAGTAGGTTTCGTCTGTGTTTTCTACTAACTGGTGGACTGAGAGTGTGGCATTGTAAGGTTCTACTACTGTATCTGACACTTTGGGAGATGGTACAACTGAGTATGTGTTCATTATTCTGTCGGGGTATTCTTCTCTGATTTTGGAGATAAGAAGTGTGCCCATTCCGGAACCGGTGCCGCCACCGAGTGAGTGTGTGAGTTGGAATCCCTGGAGGCAGTCGCATGACTCTGCTTCTTTCCTTACGACGTCTAAGACTGAGTCGACGAGCTCGGCGCCCTCGGTGTAGTGTCCTTTGGCCCAGTTGTTGCCGGCGCCAGACTGTCCGAAGACGAAGTTGTCTGGGCGGAAGATCTGTCCGAAAGGTCCTGAGCGGACAGAGTCCATGGTGCCGGGCTCGAGATCGACTAGGATGGCCCTGGGGACGTATTTGCCCCCGGAGGCCTCATTGTAGTACACGTTGATGCGCTCCAACTGCAGGTCCGAGTCGCCATGGTAGGCGCCGGTGGGGTCGATGCCGTGCTCATCGGAGATGATCTCCCAGAACTGAAACAATAAATTTTCTTTTACAACCTCTGTTTATAGACAGCATTCAGACTTAGTTATATATTTGGCTTCCGTTTTACGATGCAGGGATTATCGCGAACCGGCACCGCGCGCGCCCGGATGAGTCACCAGTTGCCAAGCGACGGGGTTCGCAACAACAGTCCCTTGGCGCGCCATATTACCATAATATTTATGAGGTCGCTCTACTTAGCTATCGATTTTACAGGTACCATTCCGCTTACTTAATTCACGACTCGGTTTAAGGTAATGAATAAACATAATTGCCGCAAAAAATTAACAGTACGACCGTCGCCTACTTTCCGTCCATATGTAACGGCACCATATAAGTAGAGAGCGTCGAGCAAGTTTCTTATTTTGTACTTCACAAATCAGCGGGTCGGGGTCTGTCGTGAAACCTGACATTTTGAGGACGGATCGCGCATAATCCTTTGTACAATATTAATATTGCGGCGTCAATTAACGAGCGCGTTGCCAACAAAAGATTATATCGCGGCTTTCTCGGCAGCCAGATATTATCGATAATTCATTCACAATGAATTTAGATTAGCCGATAACGGCCGCTTCATGCCGCGCTAATAGAAAATTTAGAAAGCATATTTTATCCGTTACAAGAAAAAGAATGTCTCTATCATAATTATTGCTATCTATAAATCTAGACTAAGGAAATAATTGTCTATCGGTGAACGCTGACCTAGACTAGTTGGAATTTACGATTAGAAAATAGTTATTAAAATAAGTAACATTTCATGATCACAAGCACAACTTTCGTATAATTACAGGTTGGTCTAAATATCATATTTTATTACCGTTTTATAAAGTGAACAATATGTTATGGCAAGACTCCAAGTCGCTTGGAAGAAATTTTGCAGTCACCGTCATTACGAATCATATAGGTATTCTGATAACTGGATGATGAAATTTATATGGAAACATAGTCATAAGTTCATAACTTTATTATTTAAGCCTTAACTCGATACTGAAATAGTTTAACTGACAACTTGGAGAACTTTACGAAGCGAGTGGATAAAACTGTCCAGCTAGATTGTTATAGCAATTGCATTGCCATGATCTCAGCAGCCAAATTGGTTGGGCAAGTGGGAGCGGTGCCAACTCGCTGGAAAAACTGCTTCCTAGGTATTTGTCGCGTTAAAATTGAGACCATCCGTTCCTTCAGGTTCAGAATGTCCAATTCCCAAAATGTCCAACGGTTTCAAAATGTCCAATTCCCGGTATGTCCAATTCCCAAAATGTCCAATTCTCAAAATGTCAAATTCCCGAAATGTCCAATTCCTGAAATGTCCAGTTCCCGAAACGTCCAATTCCCAAAATGTCCAATCTACTATTATGATGGGTTTGTTAATAAGTCCTCATAGCCTTTCTTAAAAATTTGTAATTAATGTATTTATGTACGAATGAGTTTAGTTTTTGCAAAATCGGCATATAAACATATAAAATTTGTATTATTTGCAAAAAGTACGTAGAAAAAAATTGTAGCTACTGCACTTTATACTCGTACAAGTATGTATAGTTATTTATATTTTTTTCTATTGACCTAAAAAGGAAAGAATAATTTGTAAATAAATAAATAATTGTTTAAATTTAAGTATGGTTATTTATTAAATATTTTTAAGAAAGCCTATGAGGACTTATTTAACAAACCCATCATAATAGTAGATTGGACATTTTGGGAATTGGACGTTTCGGGAATTGGACATTTCAGGAATTGGACATTTCGGGAATTGGACATTTTGAGAATTGGACATTTTGGGAATTGGACATTCCGGGAATTGGACATTTTGAAACCGTTGGACATTTTGGGAATTGGACATTCTGAACCTGAAGGCATCCGTTGCGGACATTGTACTACCTATGTGGAGTTTGCCAGTTTAGTGCTGGCAAATTGAATACATAGTTCCCTTCGTTTTCAGCCAAATGACGTCCACTGCTGGACAAAGGCCTCCCCCAAGGTTTTCCACAATGAACGGTCCTGCGCTGCCCGCATCCAGGCTCTTCCCGCGACCTTCACCAGATCGTCGGTCCACCTAGTAGGAGGCCTGCCCACGCTACGTCTTCCAGCCCGTGGTCGCCACTCGAATAGTTCCCTTATTTGGCTGAATACTCATTTAAGCCCCTACTACATACTCGCCTATAAGAATCTCATATCAAAAACGAATGAACGAACTTCTCGGTATTGTTTTATTATTGATACGAATTCGTCACCGTATTATTATTAGGAGTCAGTCTGCATAGTTGCGAACATGATTCATAAGAAAAAAACTCATTCGTATAAAATGTTGCTTCTTTTCTACATTGAAATATAACCTGACTTAGTTGCATGTATTTCCTGACAGAATTTGATATAAAACTTATTGACTACAATAAAAACACAACTTTCAGAGGTACCCTGCGTTTCACCGACTGTAGTTTTACCAACACTATGACTACAACGGTTGCAATTACTTTGAATTAACTTTAGCACATAATAGTCGTCAACTGAACGTTGTAATCAGCTAAGAGTATAGATCGTTAATTAACTTCTTTGGAATTGGCTCGGTTTTTATTCAATTAACAAGACTAATAAGGTTTCATCTGCTGGGAACTTGACGAATGAGACTTTAATCATTTTGGTTAGTGGTATCTATTTGAAATGTTAGAATAGACTGAATGAAGATTAATAATAATATAATATAATATAAACTTAAAAAAATATTAAAATAAGTATGTATGACTTTTACTGAATTTTAAGAAATTTTTGGACATTAACACCTTAATTTTTAACAGAAATAAAGGAAAAACAAAACATGACTAACTATCTAACAATATCAGCAGTGATGTCATTTGTGAAGAAATTGATTTCTGCTGATAAGATAAAATTTATTAAAAGTAAACAAGAAAAATACTGCTGTATAGTTTAATGCTTTGATATAACAAAGTTACATTAAACAAAGTTCTCAAATTAGTCTAATCTTATTTATAAAAAATATCTTTAAATATTTTCAAATCAATTCATAACACTTTCAGTTACTTCATCAAAACAAAATAAACATTTAGCAGCTAGAGATTGTTTTAATTTTTATTGTTGTTTTTCTGCTGATAGCTTGTTATTTTCAGTTAATTATTGATTAATTCTAGTCATTTTTGTCTGCTAGATGCTAGACTAGGGATAGGTGTTATATCGCGAATTTGTGATTGCCGACTGAAAATTTACATCCCACTGTCGTCCAACTTTGGTTGTCAAGATATTTAGTTCACTAGAAACATGAAAACCATCGGTGTAAAGTTTTACGGGCCATTTTGGGAGTTTCAACGTTCAAAGCAGTCTTCATATCGTCATAAAACTGAATGCTC